TCACAGCCTATTTTTGGCCTACTTTCTCTATTTTGAGAAAATGAAAGTAGGCTTATGATATAACCATGCTGTCGATGTATCTGTGAATCCTCTCCCATCAAATTTTGAATGACTGAACCAGCCTTTATCAACCTCGGTATGTGTGTCATGACACCTGAGCCCATCTTAGTGGTGTACCTCGTACACCGCTCCCATACGTCTGTGTGTCTATATGCAGATTCTCCTACCGTTGCTAGGCAAAGGCTCGGTAAAGATTTGACTACGGAAATATATACACAAGCAACAATAGAAAAATTGTTGGACGCGTCGTTTTCTATGATTTCCGCGTCGTATGAAGGGAAAGTAGGTGACTAGTTCTTCCCAGAACTTATTGTTCCCTCCCCATTTTCTATGATCTGTTTTGATGTTTTTCTCTCATCTGTGCCTATGTCTTCGAAGTGGCGGGAAGGAAGAAATACAGTATCAGAGAAAGAATTAAATGCAGGCAGACAGAATAGGCATAGACGTGGATGGATGGGGGTATGACTCAGATGGACAGACAGGACAGATTCTTAATACAATAACATTTCGTACGGCTATAAAATATTGTTTTTCAACTTGGGATATAAAAACATATGCTGGAAATAGATGCCTGTATATAATAAAAAAGTAAAGGTATTCCTGTACCAAGCCGTGAAGGCCCATAGGGTTCTGAGACATTGAGGGTCCCACACTATCTCAAAGATGGTGGTAAGGTTGTCAGCCTTACGCGCCGGCCGCGCTTTACTACCCAGGAAAATTATTTACTTTCCTGGTACTCATTTCTGTTAGAGGCTGAGTCGACCCCAGGACCATAGTGCGCACACGCACACGCACGCACACACACACACACATATATATATATATTCAGTCCAGAACCTTTTGTCTTCTCGTCTGTTGTCCAAAAACATAAAAATTAGAATATACAAAACTATAATTTTGCCTGTGGTTCTGTATGGGTGTGAAACTTGGTCTCTGACATTAAGGGAGGAACAGAGACTGAGGGTAGTTGAGAACAGGGTGTTGAGGAGAGTATTTGGACCAAAGAGAAATGAAGTCACAGGAAGCTGGAGAAAACTGCATAATGAGGAGCTTCATAACTTGTACTCTTCTCCAAGTATAATTAGATTGATCAAGTCAAGGAGGATGAGGTGGGCAGGTCATGTAGCACGAATGGGGGAGACGAGGAATTCGTATAGGATATTGGTGGGAAGGCCAGAAGGAAAGAGACCACAGGGGTGACCAAGGGGTAGGTGGGTGGACAATATTACAATGGATCTTAGATAGATAGTATGGGATGGTATGGATTGGATAGAGCTGGCTCAGGATAGGGACCAGTGGAGGGCTCTTGTGAACACGGTAATGAACCTCCGGGTTCCATAAAATGCTGGGAAATTCTTGAGTAGCTGCAGAATTGGCGGATCCTCCAGAAGGGCTCAGCTCCATGAGTAAGTAAGTATATTCATATACATACATACATATATACGACGCAAGCGAATGTACCCGGTTTTTGGAGATACGAATCAGTGGATAAAGCCAGATTTGGTTTGTAGGGACGCGGCAATGAAACAATAGTGCAGACAGATGTGCCATCTGGCATGCCCGCAGCGCGACCCCAATACCCAGCAGTTTACTGCAAAGAACCACAGCAATAAAACCGATGGTCTACGAGAAAACGGAAAGAAGTTTCTCCCAATTATAAAAACTTATGGCTCTTTCTTTTTGCATACATTAAGATTACAATTTCTTTTTCTTTTTTTTTTTGCGGAATACCGTGAAAATTGGGAAAACAGATTAGATTAAATTTCCATAATTTATTTTAGTGGGATACGTATTTCACACTGTACATTGTTTACAAAATTCTACAGGCATCCTTTCTGTAGGGTAAAATTTAAGCATGTACTTAATTAATTAGGCACTATGCCATGATAACGTATGGGGGTGAGTGGATTTGTAGCTCCACCATTCTTGGCCTCGGCACTAGATGGAGGTGTTTGATCCGATTCACGCCCTGGCCGGTTTACATCCGGGAAAACAGTACCCGGGACCCCTTAGATAGTAGGCTGGGTGGGCCCTAGAGCCGGTCTGGACTCTGTGGAGAAGAGAAATTCTCTTACTCCTGCCCGTAATCGAAACCCGGCCGTCAATCTCGTACCCCATCGGTGTACCGACTGAGATATCCCGGCTCCATGCATCCTTTCTGTAACTATTTATTTTGCAGGTGATTACAGATACTAATTCCTAAACTACAAAATCTCATTCTTGCTCGTTTCAGTTCCCCAAGTGGAAAGGAAATGCAAAAGACACTGTGGTTATTTATAAATGGGTGGAAGAAGACAATATGGATAATTTCAGTGCGCAAAATTTACGAATACCGTAAATCCCGAAGAAGCAATGAGGTGCCAACCCAACACGAGTTGTAAGGGCGAACGATCGGCTTCATGTTCTGTTCGCTTCTCCCTTTACAGACTGGGCAGTTTAACTACCTCTTACTAAAACCTATAAGTGTAGATGGCCTCTATTTTCTTCATGAATTATGTCGAAGAAAAAAAAAAAGAAAGCAAAATAATATCGTCATCATTATCATCATCATAGACCATGCTTACTCGCTCGTTCTCATGTCCGACAATTGAAGATGATCTTTCCATCTTTCCTTCGGGCAGACAAAATATTTTTGCTGCAGTGGCTTGTGCTCAACTGACTGCTCTATCGCTCTGATATCCATTCTATATCATTTTCTTCTGTTGTTTAAATTCGCTACTGGGGGGGGGGGTGGAATTCAGCTGGGTCCACTCAGAACAGCGGCCACTGATTGGCCTATTGTTCCTGCCCCGGGTGATTATGATGATGGAGAATTTGGTGGAATGAAGATTGGCAAGGGAAACCGAAGTACTCGGAGAATTCGCCCCAGCGCCACCTTGTTCACCACAAATCCCACTTGCCGCGGTGGGAAGCTAGCGACTAACCGCTTGAGCTATGGCGCGGCCCCCCTTCGGTCTATGTAAGTGCTACACTCACTTATACTTCAGTCTCACAGAAAATATTTGAAACACTTAATTTTCCTGATATCTGCAGCAGCATGCAGAGGCCATAAACACTTCCTTCGTTTACCCTTTCCTACGCATTTAAATGTTGCTTTTGCTGTGAGGTTGCGTATCAATGATTCTGTTTCTGGTAGCTCTGTTTTCTGAAATTTCTCCTAATTATATCACTTACTGCGCTATCAGGCTGTAATTTTATTTCCAGATCACTTCTCAGATCGTAAATAATTCAGCTCTGATACCTGTTCAATAATTTCATTGTACTATAACATAATTCTTATTATGTTGGATTTGAGGGTGTCACAGCAGTGACTATGAGGATTCCTGTCTTCTGGGACACAGCGCCGTGAATTTCGATGAAAGTCGACCGAAATTTCGGAGGAACATATCGTGCCAATCTTCAGGGTCGAAGAGTAAGGCGCCTTGCTTCATGACGGCCTCTTGCTCAGCTTAATTTTCTGCTGAAGATAACGGCAATGTGCTCCTCCGGCGTTAAATCCCAGAAGGTAGAAATTTTCATAATTCTCTTTGAATGTTATTATGGCATATTTCGATAGATGGATTCGGTACTAGAAACCTGAAAGTATTCCTACTGATTTGTAGCGATGCTGAAATTTCCTGTAGTTAGCTAGCAGTGGACTAGATTGTGGCGAACTGATATTTTTTTTATTATTTTTATTCTTAGTAGGGTGAGGCTGAGTCCACTTGGTACCGCGGCCGCTACTGGCCTATTGTACCATCCCTAGATGACAGATGATGGTGATTGTGGAGCAATTGCTGAAATGAAGATTGGCAGGGGAAACCGAAGTACTCAGTGAAATCCTAACCCAGCGCCACAAATCCTACATGGCCAGACTCTGGCTCGAACCAGGGGCGCCGCGGTTTGAACCCAGCAACTAACCGCCTGAACTATGGCGCGGGGAACTAATGTTCATCAGTGCGCTACGAACTAGGTAAGGTAAAGTTTGTCCTGTGCCTAATTAGTTAAACACTATGCCATAGAGGACCTTCTCGACCTCGGCACTAGATGGAGGCTTCACGCCCTTGAAGCTCTACCCCCGTGGAAAGAGCCCCCGGTATCCATTGGATAGGAGGCTGGGTGGACCCCAGAGCCGGTCTGGACGCTGCTGAGGTGAGAAAAATCTGGCACTGCCGAGAATTAAACCCGGGCCGCCCAGCCCGCAGTTCGTCGCTATACCGACTGTGAAACTAGTCCATTACTAAGTTCAAGAAGCTTGATCACCGAAACAGCTCCACTGTTCTCGTATTTACATCGAACAACTCAGGTTCACAGTCAGCTTGTCAATATCATCAACATAGGACACAAAATTCCAGTAGCGGGTTCTACTGCATGATCGCAGGAATTTCAGAAATTGTAATAATTCTAAAACATTCTACTTTTTGTGTATAAGTTACATTACAGAATTTGCGATGAGCCATTTGAGATTTTCACGGCGGTGACTATGAAGAATGCCGTCTTCTGGAATGTGACGCTGTGTAGGTATTGTATAAACCGACGTTTCGGAGGAACATATCGCCTCCATCTTCATTGTAGAAAAATCAGCGATCGAGGAACCAGGTTAAGCAGGTGGCTGCAGACTAAGTACTCGCTCCCGGGTTTTCTCTTTCTTTCTACCCTGAAGATGGAGGCGACACGTTCCTCCGAAACGTCGGTTTATACAATACCTACACAGCGTCACATTCCAGAAGACGGCATTCTTTTTATGCAATATTAAGACACTCTCAGAAGGGTCTGATAGTAGCATACTCGTACAATTCTCGACAAAGCATTTAACCCTTATTTGATGCATAGAGTTGTTTGACTGAAACATGAAATTCCTTGTTGACAATAGAAGGCAGAGACTGTTTCAACCCATATTATCCAGCAACACCGCTAAACCAACTCGCCCCTGCTGTGGCATTATGTTTCTGCATACTCACCTCCGTCAGCATATGTCTCCGAGCCGTAGCCGTCCTGCAGTCCATTGGCCCACGTGCCTTCGTACCGTGCGTTCGATGTAGAGGACTGCCGCACTCCGTAACGACCCTTGAAGCCTTGCGTCCACTCACCCCGATACAACCACCTGCCGCGCGTCTCGACGCCCAGCCCATGACGCTTACCATTCTGCCACTGGCCCTCGAATGCGCTCCCGCTGCAACAAAGCACGGTTCATTCATATAATTCGATTTTTAATTTCGCCTTGCCCTCATTCGTCGACTGCTGCTATCAGGCAGTGGTTATGGTGTCAAACTGTATCTCGCGATGAGATCTAAAAGTTTCTGACGATGGTACATTAGTATAAATATTGTGTTCTTGGATATTATTCGCCATATTGTCTCTATCTAAAACCCGTTCTGTTTATTTTTTAAACCATAACGTTTCGGAGACTGGATTCTGTCTCCGTCTTCAGGTAAAACCTATGCAGTTGGACCCAATCGATAGAGCTAAGGTTTTACCTGAAGATGGAGACAGAATCCAGTCTCCGAAACGATGTGATCTGAAAAATAAACAGGATGGTTTTTAGATAAAGACAAGGTGATGGATAATGTTCAAAAACATACTATTTGTATTTTGGAGGTCTTCGGGGAGTAGGAAAAACATTTCGCTGGGAAAAAAAGCGGAAGAGTGAATTCGTTTTCTCATAAAAGCACACACTCATACACACATACATACATATTCACCCATGAACACACATCAGACGAATATGGCGAGGGTGCCGTATTAAATATGTTTTCTGGAAATGTAATTTCTTGTCTACATTTCTTAAGGAAAGATAAACTTTCAGTACTGAAATAACGTCCTCACTGACTGCTGAATTAACTGACCGCCTTTCCATGACACCCAACATGGATATTTACCAGTGCGAGCTATGGAAGTTACGTGGATGGATGACGGTCTTGTGTACGTAGAATGACAGCTTACCCGTCTCAGAGAACTGCTGCGTTATCTTAGTAGTCAGTTTAGAATGGCAAAAACGCCGGTCTCATTCATTACTTCAAGGACATTCGTCGAGGGCTCTCGGGCAAACGTCAAAACGTCAGCTGAGATGCAATGCAGATTGCATTATGATGTGTATGTCTACGTTTTCAGAAGTGACACAAAATTTACCACGGACACCTATATTTGCGGCACCATGCAACAAGCCGGAAGGTCGCGGGTTCGAGACCCGATGAGGTGGATTTCTTCAGTTTACCTAATCTTTCTAGCCACACTATGGCCCTCGGGTCGACACAGCCACTAACTAAAATGAATACCAGGAATCTTCCCGGGGGATAAAAGGCGGCCGGCGCGTAAGACTGACAACATTACCACCATCTGTGATCCGATTATCTAGAAGATGTGAGAGCCTCGACCTCATACAACCTTATGGGCCTTCACGGTCTGTTTCAGGGATAACCTTCTTTATTTAATGTTTAACGAAATTTCTCTAAGATTTTGCTTCCAATGGCTTTCCAAGCCCATTTAGGCCCCTAATCTCTTATTCATTTCCGTAATCATTTTTCACACACGGTAGGTCTCCTTGGACGAGTGATCAGCTCATTGCAAGGCCTCTACCTAAACACAGTACAACACAGACACCGAATAAACACATACACACATCAAAGATCCAGCCTTGATTGGCATTCGAACCCACGATCCCAGCGTCTGAGCGAGCGAAGACAGTTCATGCCTTAGACCGCGCGGCTACTGTGACCGGCTCCCTAAGACTATATATATGGACAAATACCGTCTTAAGTGCAACAATTTTATTGTAGTTTTTACTTCTTTTTCCTCCTCCACACTACATGTTTCGGCCCTAAATGGCCATCATCAGGTGTGTATCACTCACGCAACTGTTACACTGCTTGTTAAAAATTTAAAAACACCAGTCTTTCCAATGGTATAAAATCTTTGTCAATCTACACGCGTCAATTTGATCTTTAAATTAGCACTTTTTAAACCCCAATTCAAGTTAAAATGTCTATAAGATCTTTGTTCTCTTTCTTTTTCAAATTTTTCAATTAAAGTTTTTCAGGGTACATGCCCTATATCTACGGTGCTGCAGCGGCCACTTCTTGTTTTTATCGCCGTTCATGTGTTGTTCAGTGTAGGCGCTCTCTGTGTGTGTCGCTGCTTATCTTTAATACGTGTCTAGTCTGTGTGTCTCAATGCACCTTTCTCGGGATATGAACGGAAGACTTCAAAGGCCGTCAATACGAGCATAATAGTGTCACATAATGAAGACCACTACGACATTTACCAAGGAATGCATGTTAGGGCCGCTACTCGCTACTTGTACACATTACATTTGAAGAGAAAAGCAGGATAAATCCTACCAGTAAATGGCGTTGTAAAGTTTTTCCTTGCTGAATAATCGCAAGGTCCTACAAGCCGCCAAACATACGCCGTTGGACTTATCTCCCTGAAAGGTGGTTAACTTGTTTTTTCTTGAATTTTTTTCTTTTCCCTTACCATGCATACTATTCCATCCACATCAACAGGGAGAGTATGTAGTCTAGTTGTAAATAATCATCTCATTAGACAAACGGGCCAGGGTTAATGAAACATGGAGATTAAATCCTCATCACTAAGGGCTGACGGCTATGCTGATGCAGATTTTCATATAGGCTATGTATTGCCCGATTTGCGCCTCAAAAATTTAGTTATATTAAATGGATTGCTATCACCTGATGCGTTCAAAACATCATCATAAAATAAAGCTGAAGTTCTACACCGATGTATCTACGAAAAGAAGACGAATTACACGGGAAGTTGCTTGGGTCTCCAGACGTTCTTAGCTCCTTAATGCTCATGTCACACACCTTTTGGTATGCCTACTATGTGTAAAAGCAGGCAATTTGACTTGCATACGGGTAACACAATTTGTCTATTTTCCATGACCTGTCTCGCTGCGTAGAGTTACCAAAGACAACGCCCCAAAGCGGCAAGAACTGTAACCTCCATCTAACCTGTAAATTGTTCGATGATAATGAATCAACTTCAGAGGTTATTTTGTGTTGCGTTGGATGATATATGGCCATTATGCCCAACGAATGGGAAAGGATTTGGAAAGAAGTGGTCGCGATCTATTTCAAGTCACTTCCCAGGAACACAGAAGAAATGTATGAAAACAAGTCACCTTAAAATAGAACAGAGTCGTTCTCGACTGAAAGTCACTAGCGCTAACGTTTTAATTACGCTGCTCGGTCTTCCCCAACGGTTTGGCGCCTTGCTTATTGTCTTCATTTCTTTACCGCACTCCGGCGTTCTCGTAAACACAGGCGTTTTGTAGGTTCTGTCTTCTTCCGGGCATTGTGAGCGACATCCATTGTCCTCTTTCTGAGCACCGACCAGTTGTTCGGTCAGCGGCACACAATTCATTGAGACAGAAACTGAACACTGCACTTGATATGGTATACGTATATAAATAATTCTCCCTAAAGGTTTCTAACGCCGGTCACGGTAGCCGAGCGGTCTAAGGCATGTACTGTCTTCGCTCGCTTGGAAATCGGGATCGTGGGTTCGAATCCCACTCAGGGCATGGATGTTTAGTTTGTGTGTGTGCGTTTTTCTGTGTCTGTGTACAGGTGTAGGCCTTGCGACAAGCTGATCACCCGCCCAAGGAGTCCTACCGAATGTGTAAGATCTAGAAAAACCGAAGAGAACGGAGAAGTTCATGGAGGTAGGCCTAGGCCCACTGGGGCTGTAGTGCCAAGGAAAAAGAAGAGAAACTTGCTTATTACGAAATGATGAAATGAGTAAAGTAAAGGTGCCCCTGTGCTTAACTGTTTGCGCACAACGCCATGACGACGTATGGGGGAACGAAAGCATAGTTCCACCATTACTGACCTCAACACTACATGGAGCTTCACGCAGCCAGCACCATTAGGCAGGAGGCTGGGTGGGCCCCAGAGCCGGTCTGGACGCTGCGCAAAAGAGAAAAGTATCTTGCTTCTGCCAGGAATCGAACCTCGTCCTTCCAGCCCTCAGCCTGTCTCTATACCGACTGAGCTCTCCTGGCTATTGTTGAAATCACTTCGATCCCAAATTAATAAGCATAGACGAAAAGTAAGCAATAAAATAAAACAGATTTCAGTAAAGATTCTCAATCCTCAGTTTATGTGAAACCCGTCAAGCAACAGGCATGATGTTCGACTCTATACCTTCATATCGCGATCACTCAAGACAAAGAATGAATGAAAATAGATTTTGTAAGAGAAACTAAGATCCCAAACATTGCCATGTTGTTAATATCACGTAAAATGAGAGGTGTCCACAGTGCTGCCTATGAAGAGTTATATCTTCTAGATTATAACGCCGTGTAGTCTGTTAAATGTCAACCGACGATTCGGAGGAAAATATCGCTTCCATCTACACCTCGCTCTACTTGCTATCTACTTCACCCTGATTTCTTATTTAGTGGCAACATGTTCCTCCTGAACTTTTGTTGATTTTAGAAGCACTAAACTATAGAGGGCACGCGGTAGCGTAGTTAATTGAGGCAATATGCTACAAGCCGGAAGGTCGCGGGATCAAATTCCTCTGAGGTGGATTTATCTTCAATTTACCTAATTATTCCAGCCGCACTATGGCACACTGCGGCGGACCGGGTTCGATCCCGGGTCTGGTCAAGGGGGATTTATGGTGGACAAAGTGGCGCTGGTGCTGGTTTTCTCCGAGTACTTCGGTTTCCCCTGCCAATCTTGATTCCACCAAATTCTCCATCATCATAATCACCCGAGGCAGGCTACAATAGGCCAATCAGTGGCCGCCATGCCGAGTGGATCCAGTCCGACTCCACCCTCCACTAAGCGAATTAAAAAAAATACCCAAAAGGAGTCATAAAAATAACGAAAGTCCTCAGTCAGTGTTGCCAATGTTCCGACCAAAAGTAAACGATAGCGCCTCCCGAATATAAGTCTAGAACGTTGCCATCAAGCCAACCTGCTCGATACCAAATATCTAAGGATCTGTAGTTTCAGTATCCGCATAAATTCTGAATCGGATAAACAAAAGCGATGTTTCCTTAATTTCAGCAACCAGTTACAGAGTTTGAAATGTTTATCATGACAGCCGTGTTGTACGTATTACGTTCTTCAATAAAAACTACGTTAACAAAGGGTGCATATTATTTAAGACCTTCAACTGTACAAAATAATATGATCTCATAAT